TATTATTATTATTTCGATGTATATCCCGCCTTGCCTGCACAGATGTAGTGGTTAAGAGCACAGACTCTAATCTGGGAGAACCGGGTTTGATTCCCCACTCCTCCACTCACAGCTGCTGGATGACCTTGGGCAAGCCATAGTTCTGTCAGAGCTGTTCTTGAAAAAGAGCAGCTTCTGTCAGAGCTCTCTCAACCCCGCCTCCCTCACAGGGTGTCTGTGGTGGGGAGGGGAAGGGAAAGGAGTTTGTAAGCCGCTCTGAGACTCTGTGAAGGGCGGGGTATCAATCCAATCTCTTCTTCTTTTCTTCAGGTCAGGGATCGCCAGGAGGTTCTTCTCTCCAGAATGTAATACCTTTCAGGGGGTATATATGGAGAGGCGGTCCCGAAAATACGCCGGCCCCAGACCATTTAGGGCCTTGAAAGTCAGTACCAAAACCTTTAACCTGATCTGGTACTCAACTTGGAGCCTGTGCAGCTGACAAGGTAAAGGTTCCCTTGCTCGAAAGGCAGTCGAATCCGACTCTAGTGTTGCGGTGCTCATCTCCGTTTCCAAGCCGACGAGCCAGCGCTGTCCGAAGACGTTTCCGTAGTCATGTGGCCGGCATGACTAAACACCAAGGCGCACGGAACGCTGTTACCTTCCCACCGAAGCGGTACCTATTTATCTACTTGCAATTTCTTGCTTTCGAATGGCTAGGTTGGCAGGAGCTGGAACTAGAGACAGGAGCTCACTCCGTCATGCAGCAACCCGGGTCTCGAACTGTTGAACTACCGACCTTCCACAGCCTGCAGTTCAGCGTCTTAAACACTTGAGTCACCGCAGCTGACAAAGCACTGGTTAAATATGTGCTGTTGATGGGGTCCCAGTAAGGACCCACACTGCTGCATTCTGGACAAGGTGTAAATGCTGGATCAGTCTCAAGGGCAGCCCTGTGTAGAGTGCGTTACAGTAGTCTAGCCTGGAGGTGACCGCTGCATGGATTACTGTGGCTAAGTCAGGGCAGGACAGGAAGGGGGCCAATTGCCTGATCTGGTGCAGCTGGAGAAACGCCAGTCTGGCAACATTTGTGATCTGGGCCTCCATAGATGAAGGAGGCATCCAGGTACACACCTAAGCTCTTGGCAGCTGGTGCCGGGGTTAGAGGTACACTATCAAGATCCTGGGGTTGGCAATGCTCCCTCTAAGCTGTGGAGTCTTGTGAGCAAAAATTCTACTCTGTGAGCTACTGGCATGAAACTTGTGAGCGAGCGATTTGTATAAATTAGTTTGCTCTGGAGCCCTCCTTCCTGAGATAAGACAAAAATGAGTGAACCGGACGCTAGAAAACTGTGAGCTAGCTCACCACTAACTCAGCTTAGAGGGAACACTGGTTGGCACCCCAATCCTGCCCAGCCACAGAAACTCCATTTTTGAAGGATTCCGTTTCAGCTGGCTCTGCTTCTACCACCCAGCTATGACCTCTAGCCCTTTGGCCAAAATAGATGGGGCAGTATCCGGTCTTGGATAGGAGCAAGGAAGCTCAGGGTCGCTACGCAGAGGCAGGCAATGGCAAACCACCTCTGAACCTCTCTTGCCGTGAAAACCCCGTCGGGTTGCCATGAACTGGTTGCAACTTGACAGCAAAAAGGGGGGAGGGGGAATCCTCCAAGGAGTTCAGGATGGCATGCGTGGTTCTTCCATCCTCCACGATAGTCTCACAACAGTCTTGTGAGGTAGGTCATCCACTAGGGGCCTCTTGCAGGTTTCTGCCCCAGGATAGCTCATTTAGCTGCCACCAGGGGGAAGGGCCTTCTGGACATCAGCTGGAATTCTGGGGGATCCCCAGGCCCCACCTGGAGGCTGGCACCCCTAAGCACAGTCTTCTATTCCCTCTAAGCAGCCGCTCATTAACACGGGAAGCTCCGCTCAGCAGCAATCACGGAGCCACACAGGGTCTGCCTATTGCCCATTTGGAGATTACAGCCGTTACCTTCTGCTTGGGATGTCCCCCCTGGGGGGGAGGGGAATTACATTGCATCTGACCTTCCATTGCATTTGACCACTGCAGTAGACCCTTTTCTCTAGCAAGATTCAATGTAATTCCATCAGCAATCTTGTATGGGAGATATAATAACATAGTATATGCGGATAGACTTTGCCCCTGCAGTTCTGGATGTATTGAATCTGTCTCGCATATTTGTTTGCATTGCCAACTTTATGTGGTTTTACGTGCTAGATAATTAAATCCCATCCTAGCCAACATGACGAACCTTTCTGAGGCCTTAAAAGCGCACCGTCTTCTAAATGACTCTGACCCAGAAATATCAATGAACGTAGCCACGTTTTTACAATCAGTGATAAAACTACGTCAGGTAAATTTCCAATAATTAAATGTTTTATGCCAGATTATGTTTTATAAGTTTGGCTGTGTGTGGTTTTAAATGTATATTCCTTTTTATAGTAATCCTTTTAAAGTATTTTATGCCAATAAAGGTTAACTGAACTGACCACTGCAACTGGCCTTCCCACCACACCCATACGACTGGCCAGACTCTATAATAAAGCGCCTAACTATCCTGGGATTAGATCAATGTGGGCAGCTGTGTTGCTCTGAAGCAACAGGACAAAAAAGTTTACAGCCCAGCGGCCCCTTTAAGACCAGCAAAGCTTTATTCAAGTTGTGAGCCTTCATGTGGACGCACACTTTGTCAGGCACTGAAATGGAATTACAGACCATAGCTGTCTAGAGAAGAGGGTGGCTCCTTAAATTAGCATGCAAAATGGTGAAGATGGTTTTTTTTTAACAGATCAAAAGAATGAAATGAAGCTCACACCTTGAATAAAACTCTGTTGGTCTTAAAGGTGCCACTGGACTCCAACTTTATCCTGGCATTACATACACACCCAACACCCAAATAAAGATATAACCTCAACGCCCAGAACCGGCACTTTCTGAACTGTTGAAAACTATTCTCTTTTCCCCTAATTCCCCATTGGTAGCCAGACTGGTTTGTGAATGGGACGCCGCCCCCAGGTCCCTCGTCCTGGCTGGCCTGGACCAGTGTTCCCTCTAAGCTGAGATAGTGTGAGCTAGCTCACGGTTTTTTTAGCCTCCGGCTCACACCTTTTTGTCTTCGCTCAGGAAGGAGGGCTCCAGAGCAAACTAATTTATGCAGTAGCCAAATCACACCCTCACAACTTTGATGCCAGTAGCTCACAAAGTAGAATTTTTGCTCATAAGACTTCACAGCTTAGGGAGGGAACATCGGCCTGGACCTGGGGGCCACCGCAAAGAAAGCCGTTCCGGTCTCCATCATCAGAGTGATGGCTCTCTGGATCCTTTTTTTTGGTACCTGGAGTCGAACTTGGAGCCGTCCTGGAAGGTCCCGTTGTAGTGGTACCGGACGAAGTCTCCCATCTGGACTTCTCGCAAGCACACTTTGGGGATGTAGTACCTGTCAATCACCACGTCCTCCAGGGGACCCGGGTCTCCCAGGCCGCGGACCCCTAAAAGGCTCAGGGTCCAGACGAGGCACAGCAAGCTCATGTCGCTTTTTCTGGAGGGGGGAAAAAAAGAGAGCTGCCGTTTTCGAGCGGTGCCGTGGAAGCAGCCCAGTGAAAGAGGAGGAGGAGGGGAGGCGCCTGCCGAGGAGGGAGGCCGGGATGATGCTCCCTCCCAGCCCACCCACAGAAATTCTGTAGACGTGTAAGAAAGCGGCCTGCAGAGAAATCCCCAAAAAAGGACCCCCGGATCCCGCAAAGTCTCCAGTTTCTGGGGCTGGAGAGGGAGCCACGCCGCCTAAGCAGACGGGCCTGGCTTGCAACAGGGCTGCAGACGCTCCGGTTTGGGTCTTTGCAGCAGACCTTTCTTTTAAAAGAAGTTTGGGCAGCCAAAGTCCTGACAAGGGGAGAGGGTTTGCTTTTTTTAAAAACCGAAAAAGGCCTCTCCCAGGTCCTAGTGCCTGCTGGGTGTCCCTCCAGGAAAAGTCAGCCTGTGGAAGCCTGTTTTGGAAGTCCAGGGATCCATCCAAGGCGGGAGTAAGAAGAAGAGCTCCAAAACTTGCCACTGAATGAGTGGTGGTATTGGGGAAATCACGACCCCCCCCCCATGCTGGTTTTTAAAGAGGGCAGGTCTATTTATTGTTCAGATTATTTCGTACCCTGCTTTTAGAGTTTGGTGTAGCGGTTAAGAGCGGCGGGCTCTCATCCGGAGAACCAGGTTTGATTCCCCACTCCTCCTCATGAAGCCAGCTGGGTGACCTTAGGTCAGTCACAAGTTCTCTCAGAGCTGTTCTCTCAGAACTCTCAGCCCCACCGACCTCACAGGGTGTCTGTTGTGGGGAGAGGAAGGGAAGGTGATTGTAAGCCGCTCTGAGACTCCTTCGGGTAGTGAAGGGCAGGGTATAAACACCAACTCTTCTTCTTCTTCATTTGAACTGTTACCTTCTCTTCCAATGTATTTAAAGAAGGGCGCCTTGCACACAAAAGCTCATACCTTGAAGCAACCTTTGTTGGTCTTAAAGGTGCAACAGGACTCTAACTTTGTTCTACTGCTTCACACCAACATGGCTGCCCTCCTAGTTGTTGTTGTTGTTCAGTCGCACAGTCGAGTCCAACTCTTCGCAACCCCATGGACAAGATCACGCCAGGCCCTCCTGTCTTCCGCCGTCCTCTGAAGTTTGCTCAATTTCATGTTCGTTGCATCTATGACACTGTCCAACCATCTCATCCTTTGCCTTCCCCGTCTTCTTTGACCTTCAATCTTTCCCAGCATCAGGGTCTTCTTCTCCAGTGAGTGCTCCCTTCTCATTTGGTGGCCAAAGTCTTTGAGCTTCAGTTTCATTATCTGGCCTTCCAGGGAACAGTCAGGGTTGATTTCTTTTAGAATTGACTGATTTGATCTTCTTGCAGTCCAAGGGACTCTCAGGAGTCTTCTCCAGCAC